AACATGGGGTTGTACCTGCTGACGGCCATCAGCATCGAGAGGTGTGCGTCCATCCTCTGCCCGCTCTGGTACCGCTGCCACCGCCCCCAGCACCTGTCAGGGGTGGTGTGTGCCCTGCTCTGGGTCCTCTCTGTCGCTGTCATTGCCACGGTGACTTCCCTATGCCTGTTACACAAGCATGAGCTTTGCCAGAAGTCTCTCATATCCATGTTTGTCCTCAGCTTCGTCATCTTTGCCCCACCCATGGTCATCTCCAACGTGATCCTGGTCATTAAGGTCCTCTGTGGCTCCAAGAGACGTCAACCTAAGAGGCTCTACATCGTTATCTTCCTCAATGTCACCTTCTTCCTCCTCTTTGTGGTTCCTTTCAGCTCCTTTCTTTTCCTGCAGCAGCTCAGCTACCCTGTCATGTCCTCCCAGATTGCTTTCCTGCTCGCCTGCATCAACAGCAGCATCAACCCCTTCATCTACTTCCTGGTGGTGAGCTGCCGGAGGCGCTGTTCCCTGATGTCCCTCCAGGTCGCCTTCCGGAGGGTCTTTGAGGAGACGGCGGTCACCACGGTCTCCAGCTAAGAGGCCACTGCGGTCCTGCTGGCTGTGCCGCCCACCCCGGCTTCTTGCTCAGCTGCCCACCCTTGCTCCCAGCCAGGCCCCTGCAGGTCACCTCCGCGCAGCTGTGTGTCGGGATGGATCCCTTATCCCATCCCCACTCCATCCTGATCCATGTTGTGTCTGTCCCCACCCCATCCTCAACCCCATCCCTGTCCCATCCCTATCCCATCCTGTCCCGTTCCATCCCGGTCCCGCTCTGCCCCGCCGGGATCCCGGCCGGCGGCCGCTCCGCGGCTCCGAGCGCGGCCCGTCGGGCTCTGCTGCCCTCCAGCGAGGGGAGGCGGCATGGGCGGCATCCACACACCCGCGACACCCTCCAGACCCCCTCCGACACACTCCAGACCCCCTCCGACACACTCCAGACCCCCTCCTGACACCCTCCAGACCCTCTCCCGACCTCCCCCAAACTGCCTCGACAGCCTCCAGACGCCTTTCTGACACCCTCCAGACCTCCCCAACACCCTCCAGACCCCACCTCCCGGGCGGTGCCCGACAGCCCCATTCCTGCCCCACTGCCCCGGGACCCCCGGGAGCGCCTCCGCTCGTCCCGGCCAGTTCCCGCTCCTCCACCCCAATAAACGCCGCTGGCTCTATTCCGCCGCCGCCTCTTGTTCCTTTCCTAGGGAAGTTGGAGGGGGGGGGGGGGACTGGACAGCAGGGGTGAAGCTTTGAGTGTGTGGGGAGTCTCCCAGAGAAACAGCCCCCC